CGTTCTGCTCACAGTAGTCACTCTAGTGTAATTTGCTCAACAAAATTTTGAATTTTGAATCTTGAATTTTGAATTTTGAATTTTTTTCCTTGATCCGGTCCGTGATCCGGTCCGTGATCCGATCCGTGATCCGATCCGTGATCCGATCCGTGATCCGGTCCGTGATCCGATCCGTGATCCGGTCCGGTCCGATCCAGGTTTTGTCGACGCCGGTGCAGAGTGGGATAGGTTATGCAAATAGCTAGACGTTTGATAGAAGTTGACATTGTACCTTGTAGCCTCATCAAGCAGCAGAATGGAAGGGTTCTGGAAAAACAATCATTCACAAAATAAATTGTTTTGAACAAATTAAAGGGATTGGAAGTAGAAGCTACATTACAGGAAGCAAATTATTTAAGCTCTCTGTTCCCTTAATTTTGCAATGGAATGGGATGAAATTTTTATTAAATTAATAACGATCCCATCCCAAACAAGGCTGTTGTCCATTAAGGAAATTATCAAGGAACCCTTTGGGCTCCTAACTTTTGAAGTTAGGAGCCCAAGCCATTTTTTTAGGAGTCGGGGATAAAATTTGCTGTGGTGACAATCCTGGGGATTGGCAGATTGGAGAAGGGGAGAGGTTGAAGTGACTTGGGAAATCTAAGGGATGGGCCCAGGGGACATCCCTCTTCTCCCTGTTGAGATTTTCCTTGAGGCACTAATATCAATCAAATTTCGGGGATTAAGCATTCAACAAAGTGATCAGGTCATGACTGAGGAAGAATACTATTGGTTATAATTTGAACAAAATAAATCAAATTTAATAACTGGTGTATACATGCAAGTGCTTCAGCTGTTTTTTACAAAATGATATTGTTGCCTTAGTTTTTGAGCTTTGTCATGTCAGAGATTCCAACCTAAAAAAAATATATAAATGTGGGATATAGCCAATTTTACCTTCTCAACCCTAAAAGTGTTGTTAATTACTTGTAATTCCTGGTTACAAGGGACTGAAGTCATCCGACAGATTAGATGGGAATGAAAATGCCATCACAACCATGTTTAGGCACCCACTTGGGCTCCTTAAACAAGAATTTAGTCACCCGCACTCGTAATGTAGGCGTCTCAGGTGACCATTAGGCAGCAGGCTTGCCAAATCAAGGGAACAATTAAACTGACTGATTGTATGATTAAATTAACATGTTGGCTTCTTTAAAACTTCCAGGACATAGGCTTTAAGGACAAATTAATTCAATACAATTATGGTGAATATTTAGCCATTGGTTTCACTGACCTTCAGTATTGCCCTTGCAATTGCAATCCTCTGCCTCTGACCTCCTTCAAAGAGTCAGAAAACAAAATTAGTCGAAAAAGATCTGTACTGTACATGTACTGTACATTACTCAGTACCTCAAAAACTTAACAAAGCTTATAATGGACTGACTTAAGCCTATAAGCCCTGGGTGTCTATTCTGGCTTTAAACATTAAATAGTTTCATTAAAATCTGTATTTAAGCAGATATCCTCTATTAATAGACTAATGTCAACTTAGTCTGAAAACAAACCATAACACCTGTTACAGGTGAGTATCACTATGGTTGACGAGTCCTTGATGTTACGGGTGAGTTTGCATGTTGTTAATCCACCCACAAAGCAACAAGTTTGTCACGGGAGTGAAGCCCAGGGCAATAGGTGACTCAAACCTTAATAACAGCTTTTTGTGTTATTAACAGTTGCAGCATGCAGTAATACAGGGTTTACAAATCACCAACCTGACAGCATTTGCCCTCTTTCCCCAACAATAGTGTCAAACCCTTTAGGAAAGCTCTTTATGAACCCGTAGGCATTAGCCTGCACCGCTGCATCCATGATGTCGTCACTGCTCACTTGCTGACCTGTGCTTGCTCCATAGGCAATGTTGTCGGCAATGGAACTTGAGAACAAAATTGGTTCCTTAAAAAACAGTGCAGCAATACTTCAATAATATACATTGTGTTTTCAGCACACATCAAGCCAGCGCTTTGACAGGTACTTGTAATAGATTTGAATAAAGTCTTATAGTAGCCAACAAGGTACTCTTCTAGGGCATTTTTGCTGTTGTTGTTGTTGTGTTTCATATGTGATGACCTTGGTTTAGGAGAATGAAAATTATGGTGCAGAGTTCTCTATTTTTGTTTTAAATGTTGGGGCTTTGGTTTCTTAGACTGGTAATGTTTACAAAGACAGTCCATAACTCACATCCTAGTTATGCCAATTATAAAAAATTCTATGAAGCTCGCTTAAAGAAAAAAATCAGTGGCACAGGTTCAAAAGAACATATGTCTACGAACAACCAATGCAGTGTTATCTACACGCACCTGATGAACAGTTCCAACTGCACCTCTTAGCCAATCAGGTGAGAGTCCACGCACATCATGTCCTCCAACTATCACTTGACCCTGCTCTGGATCATACAGACGAAGCAGTAGTGACCCCAGTGTGCTCTTCCCAGAACCACTTGGCCCAACAACTGCTGTAATAGATCCGGCTGGTACATCAAGGGTTAGTCCTTGGAAGATTGGCATGTCAGGTCGTGATGGGTAGGTGAAATGGACATCCTTAAATTGAATTCCACTGCTTAAGTCATACATGGCTGGTCGTAATCCTCCTGGAAATTTTAAGAGCAAGGGGAAAAACAATCAAACTGCCCAGTAAAAGTTCTGTAACTAAAAATTTATGTACCAACAGTCTGGTTTGTACATATCGAAGCCTGTGTTTAATGTTACAGTTACACTTAACCCTCAGGCATACAAGGGAAAGGGGTAGATTTTTAGGTAGAAATTTTTAGATTTTATTAATTGTACATATTTTTATTCCCCAGGGCCCCTATGGATACCAACCTCATTGCTGAATGGGCTATCCTGGTAAAATAAAGTTACTTACTAGATGCACCCCACCCCCCACTCCCAGTAGATGTTTTTAGAATTTACTTTGTGGTGTAGCTATAAGTTCATTTATCCTTTGCAGAAACAGTTGTTTTCTTCCCACGCCATTTGACATTAATTGCCATTGATAGCAGGCCATAATTTTACATGCAAATGGAAGCCAAATTTCATCTTTTAAGACAAAAATCTTTGTGTTCCATATTTTTATATGTCATCATTTTGGATAAAACTTCCATAAATTTACAGTATTTTTTTACTTTCTAAAAAAATAGTAAAATCCAAGATCACTTGCCACCATTATTAATTTTGCAGCATGCTGACTATATCTAACCTGTCAGGGGTATGGTAGGGTTTCTGTCAATTAACTCCCACAGACGACCACTGGCACCAATCCCTTTCATAAGTTCTGAATAAAATGAGCTCAGACCTAGCAAAAGAAGAAATGAAGTTAACTTAAACTTAATATATTATTTTTCTTACTCTTGTTGACAAATATATATACACGAGAACAAGTCTCAAAACTCCGAACTGGCCCGTCAACTTGCAAAACACCCAACCCACACGTACACATGGAACATTGCATGCACCGAGAAAACCACTTTTCTGAGGAAAATAATGGAACGCTAGTTGCTTGCAAGAAACCAACCCTAAACAAACAAGTACATTCTTTCATTTGCAAAAATGTTCCCCTCGGGAAAAACTTAATAGTACGAAACCAAGTTGTATGTAAATTTCCATCATGTACCACTGATGATAACCGTACGGTCGAAAACATTTTGGTTTTTAAAATTTTAGTAACTTTTAGCCTTTTATAAACATCTAAAAAGCAACTATCATGACAACATATAATTATATATTTAACAGAATTTTCTACTTTTTCATCACAAAAATAGTGTAGTGCCAAATTAAAAGCACACATGCATGTTTTACAAGTGAAAATTAAATCGAAAACAGATCCCAACATCCAGGAAAAGGCATATATTAAAATACGTACTAATAAGTTAATATTATCTCCTGCAGCTGCAGTTTAAGTTTTGAGTTAGATTATTTGTCAACTAGACATTAGGACATTTGACAGTTGCCTTTTCCCTCTGTGTCAAAAGGAGTCTTCATGTGACACCATTCACGTGAAAATGTGTTTCCCAAAAGGTTTGTAATTTTTCATGCAAATCAAACTCATCTTCACATGAAAGGTTTTGAATGACGACTCAATTTGAAATGGAGGCCCAAGGTAACTCAGAAATGACCTATTGAGGCAGTCTGTAAGATGTTACCTCCAAAGGATATTCCAACAAATCCAGCATAGAGCAGAAAAGATGTGAGGTCTCCAACTGAGATCTGTGCATCTGTCATCATCATCCCACCACTGTACAGCACAGAAAGCATGATGACATTACCCGAGAGTCCCGTCTGAAATAAAAATCACCGATATGAATTCTGAACCGGAGTGCAACACATGTTAAGCATATAGAGCAGTTTCTAATTGAGTGTCATAAAATCAAAATCAAAGTATTCACTCAAACCACTCACAAAGGGTACAGACAATCCTGTTAGCCAATCAAAACCCAACATAAATTCACATGGCTGACTTGAAACATGAAAAATTGTGTGTACAAGTCAAGATTGGTCTTGGTTTTACTTCTGACTGGATGACAAACTGGCATGAGTTTTTTTATGCCTTTAGTGCAGCATATACTAATGCAAAATGAAAGCAAACACTAATTAATTTCAGCGGTCACGTGAAAACTACACTAACTCACTATTATGTTGAAATTATCTTAAAAGCAATTTTGGAGCTTCAAAACCGCTAAAAACAACACAAATATATGACCTTAAGATTTCTATGAGGTGATAGTTACTGAGGACTAAGGCCAACTCAACTATCACCTCTTATAGGTCACCGCTTTAATTTTATCTGATTCTTATTGCTTTAAATTGATCACATGGTACATAGTGTTCAGCAGCAGTACTCAGCCATGAAAAATTTTCATCTAAACAAGCTTAGGCGGGCCTATAGAAAAAATTGAAAGATTTATTGATCTGCATTCAGCGAGTTTTTGTTTGTTTTCTTTTTTAAATTTCACATTTGGCTTTCACATCTTTAATCTAAAAAAGTTGAAAATAAATCAATATGAATTTTTTAACAGACACGGGTTGAACTGGCATGCATGTTTTGTGGGGCCACTCATTGGTTCTTCAAAAAATTTTGAGGTCTTTAAGTTGTATGACGGTCAATTTCCTTTCTTTAGCATTCTTGGGAATTGAATTATCAAGTAATATTTCAAATCTTACTCGAAACATCAGAGAAATCAGACAACATTGTCATTATGTAGACAACCCAAGGGCAGATCTAGGGGACTTCAATTTTAAAAATTTTCCAGGGGAAGGATGAACCGGACCAACCCAGACCCCCCTAAAGGGTACTGCCTTTCATGGTCTGTATCTCAAACCCCCTTCTCTAAAATCCTGTATCTGCCCCAGCAAACTCCAGTCAAATGGAGGCTTTTGTGTTTAAAATTATGCTGTATTATCCTTCACATATTTTTTGCAATACATGGGATCTTTCGAAAAATGGGGAATATCACCTGGATATTTCCCAGATTTATCCTGGGCACATTCAGTTATTTGCAGATGAGTTCTTACTGAACATCGAGTAAAGCATTATTCTCCACAGTCAAAATAATCAACTTACTTATCAACTACTATTAATAACTGGTAGGCAAACTTACAAAGCCAAAGAAAACTGCCCTTGCAACTGCTTCTTTCTTTGCCAACTTGAACACATCTTGTATGCTGTTAGCATACCTGTTTGGGCGAAAACAAGCTTAAGGAATGGAATTAACAAAGCTGATGCAAAAAAGAACATTGTATAATTGCAATGGTTTCACCAAGGCCTCAAGCCTGCCAGAGCTCTGCAGGGCATTCTGTTAATTGAACTGCCAGTTGTTATGTTTAGAAGTTTTCAAAAATTGGCTCCCTAGGAAGTTCTAGTTAAAAAGATAAGATAGTTTCCTTTGTTTCAACGGCATGCCTGTAAACTAGCTAAGCTTAGTGCTTGTATAGGTAAGTACATGACCACTATAAATAAGATTTACATTTTTTGTTTATATTTTACAGGCAAGTTAAAGTCAGTATACAAGCCCATCAGGCCAGTGCTTATCCCAAATTCAGTAGCATAAAGTTCCTAAGAGGATTTCTACTCCCCACTGGATGGTATCTGGATGGGATGCTAGTCCATTGCAGTCTTACCCCCCATTAAGTTCACCAGTGCCCATTTATACACCTGGGTGGAGAGAGGCACTACACATGAAAGTAAAGTGTTTTACCCAAGAACACAACACAATGTCCCACCACGCCTTCAGGAAGTTGTTTTGGGCCTCTCTTATTGCTCCTTGATGGTTGCTGCAACAGGTCAGCCACCTACTTCAAGTTTTATTGAAAGCCTTGCTTATATTCAGTACTTCTTCAAGAATTACATCTAAATAAGATATTTTGTATACCTCTTCTTTTATCTAACAAGGTAGTAAAGTTTTTACATTATTTGACCTTACAAGATCTACAAAAGTTGAATTTTCAGCAGATTGTAAATGTAATCATTGGGGACAAACAAAAACATCAAATCTGAATCCCCAATGGATGTCTGAGTTCTAATGAGTCTGAAAAATTAATTGTCAACTGTAAGTTTACTAGGAAATTCTTCAGCTGCATAAAAATCAATTTTAAAAATTCATTTATTTGTGTTTCTGAACCTGGAAAATTAATAGTTTTATTCCTACTTACGTTTGTATCTCTTTCAGCTCTTGGCCAAATGCCCTTACTGTTCGTATATTGCTGATTCTCTCTTCTGCTACCTATAATTTGAAAATAAAGAACCACTGTTACATTTTTAACCTGAGACTGAAATCTAGTAATAATATTACTGATAACAACTCCATATAATAGAACACTCGTCAACATTACCTGAGTAGATTGTGCAAGAGAGTCCTGTGTTTTCTTCGTAATACTTCGTAGATAACGACCATACATAACAATGGCAATAGCTACTGGTGGCACAATACCAAGGACAATACCAGCCAACTTGGGTGAAACATAAAACTGGAATATGAAGTACACAATCAGACAGTGTTACAACAGGAAAGTTTACTAAAAGTGAGTGGCATTTTAACTTTCAATCCCTTGTCATCAATAAATCTGTGATTACTTATTACTTACCTTGAGAGAGATCCATGATAATATTGTATCAGACAGTGTAAGACAAGTTCTAAGTCTGATCACGAGACATATTATAAGTCTAGACAAGTAATTTATTAATAGAAAATAAGGCAACCTTTTGTTCACCTTCCTTGATAAATAGCCCTTTTGAGATGTACAATATAATGTCTAAAATGTGTGTGTCTTCCTTAACACCATGCCATAGAATATGACTACAGCCTGAGTCAACTGGTATCTCTTTGTTATGCTTAATCAGAAGCATATCTTCTGGTTTAATTCAATATCCTTCTTTTACGAAATCTGACTTGTCAGAAAAAAATTCTGTTTTCAATTTATATCAGCATCTTAAAGTACATATGACATGAAAAATAATTTCTGCTTATTTGAAAGGCCTTTCAAAATACAGAAGAATGACGTTTTTCCTTTTGAAATATCTTTTTTCATTGTAGAGATATTGACATTTTTTTATCGTGCAAGTTAGAGCAGTGATGACATCATATTGTTTGCAACTAAAAATGGTAAAATACTGAATAAACAATATCTCTAGAAATATTGAAGCAGTGTTCTTGAAACTTGACACTACAAATGTGCATCACAAAAGAAACAAAATGACACCCTTAGTGCTGTTGCCATAGCAACTCTTTTGTCTCCAGTCTCTTTCTGTAAAAGAAACAAATATCCCCTTTTGTAACCTCTAGAGTGAGACAAAGGGTCCTACTTGGAATAGACATAGTGCCCATAAATATGTCTTAACTCCAGTCATTAGATTGGGTGGGGTAGATGGTTCTTGGTTAAAGACAAAAACTGGGAAGTTCAGTTTTTATGAAGACAGCACCTGCGGCAAATCTGTTGTCATGGCAACAGCACTGAGGGTGTCATACCGAACGCACTCTTTAGAATGCAAATGGTGCAAATGGACTGCCTGGCCAGGAACAAAGGATTGGAGGAGTTTTGTCAGTGGCCAAATGTGGAGTAGACAGGCTTCAGATCAGATCAGATCCCATTGATAATGGTCCTTGCACTTGTCCAATAAACAAGACATTTATGATATTCGATTAACTCACCATCATAGAAACACCAGCCACTGACTGAGCAACAGCTCGTAATCCATCAGATACATTGTCGGTCACAGCCTTACCAACAAGGATGGTGTCAGCTGACAACCGATTGATGAGTTCTCCAGTTCGTGTTTTATCAAAAAATGCTGTTTCCTGCCTCAATATGGCACTGAACAGTTGGTCACGCAGACGCTTTACAACTTTCTGGCCTGGGTTATTGGTACAGAAGAAACCAAGAAAACAAACACAGGTAAAGTCATCACTCTGGTCCACATTGAGGGAGCTTAAATAGGTTTCTATATCATAATATGGCTAAGAGTATTGCTACCCCTCCCTCCCCTCCCCTCCCTCCTGGATGGGAAGGCAGTTCATTTTAGGTAACCTCCTCTTACCCAAACAGTTTGCCAGTACATCTATCAAATAAGTGTGTTGTTCCAGAAAGTATCCATATCACTCCCACGGAAGGTTTTTGTAGTTCAATTCCCTCTCCCCCACCCCTCTGGAAATTCCAGTTTTGTAAAATTTTGGCTTTCTCTTGGAATTCCTGTTAACTTTTCTTGGGGTGGGAATGGATATTTTCTGGAACTGCACAATACTCCAGGGTGTAGAGAAGAACTGAGAGTGTCTCTCCCATGCTAAGAACACAACCCAGTAGCACTGGCCAGCACTTGAAGCTAAGTGGACTGCTTGATCAAGAATCCAATGTGGAAACCATAAGGCCAACACTCTCCCCTCTTAGCCTGCAAAAACAGCCATCCCTCTCACTCCGAGTGAAATGCCACTCAGCGCAGGGGGGTGGGGGNAAGAAGGTTATATATTTCGCAAATTCAACCCCTACAATTATATGAAGGAAAGGGAAAAATCTTTCAATGAAAGGCAACAATAAAGATTTCTTTCTCACCAGAAACTTGAATAAGGTAAACTCTTCCAAAATTTGCTGCTCCACCTAATAGAAACACTCCACAAAGAATTTTACAAACATAGGAGAGTGTTTCCACCATCTGGGAAGTATCTTGGCTTGAGGTATATATAATGTCAATGATCTTTCCCATACAAAATGGCACAGACATAGTCACTGCCGATGATATAAACAGAAGACCAATAGCTCCTGTAAAGAATCAAAACCCATGGAATAACTAAACTATTAGTATGAACTCCCACTAAAAATATCACTGGTCCAGAATCCTAAATCCTTGAATCTGATTGGCTTATCACATGTACACCACACCCATTAGAATTTCCCTGGTAAGAAACCTGGGTGGCCACCCATTAGGATTTCCTTAGACCCATCAAAGGATGATAACTCCCAGTGAGCTGGTGCATCAGAAAGGAAAGGTGACCACTGACATGCACTAGCTACTGACCGCAAGGCATCAACACCTAACTGCTGAACAGGCTTCCTTTAGCATGGTAATGTAACAATGAAAAGAAGCACTCCACACAAATTCCTTTCTAACTCTTTTGAAAAAATCAAAATTATATACATATTAACGACCCAGTCTGCATACAGTACCCAGTATGTAATCTCACAGTAACAACACAGTTTGAAGAAAGAAAAGTGCTGGTTTGATGACATCCCCCCCCNCTTCAAAATCATTAAAGCACGATTCTTGTATTGTTCCAAACTTTTTAAAGTTTAAAGTTCAAACTGGGGACAAGCACGAGGTTTACTTTCCATTATCGTTTCCAGACCAAGGAAAGAGAAACCCCTCAAGGAGAGAAAAAAAATACATTTTTCTTCTGAACAATGTCCACAGAGCTACCCCCTATGAAAAGACTCTCACAGTAATGATGAACCAAATCCCGTGCTGTGATTGGCTACTTTAGCAGGTAAATGTATTTTACTCGTTCGGGATTACCCGCGGATTACCTGCAAGACTCTTGTATTCTGGTTTGGCGAGTGATAGTATCCGAAACAGGTCTTCACTCTTTAGCTGCTTCTTGGCAGGGCTTTGTTTCACAACTTCCGTTTCCTTTCTCCCATTATTGTCACTGCTGTAACTCCGCCGAACAAAACCGGGGACAGTTAGCACTCTGCCTCGATCAACTACCTCTTGACTTTTCCACGGTAAACTAATGGAAGTTCGAATTGTTCGTAAAGCATTTCCAGCATTTATCCTATAGGAGCATGCTTTCTGTAGATTAAGTCGTGAGCGAACGTGCACGTAGGGATAAAGAAGCGTCCACTGGTTGAGAGTAAGTTTGTTAACTTGTCTTCCAAGAGAAATGAATGCACTGACAGAAGACATGATCACAGAGGAGTGAACGACAAAATTGACCTGCAGCTCCAAACTCTGGGATGTCAACTACCGCAAATGAAGAATTTTCCATCACAGCATAGTTTGGCTTGATATTTAAGTATTCAAAAATATTCTTGCCAGAAATTTTCCTGGAAATCGCTGTCAAACTTTGTAGAATATTAGGCGGAAAATGTGATGTAACCTAGATGTATCTTTCACGACTCTTTCACGAAGTTTTCAAGAGAGAACCGCTGACCAACTAAAGGCTGTGAGGGAGGGGGTGGGGGTACAGAAAATTGCGCATTCGACATCCCCGGCATTTGTTTGTCAGGCTGCAGGCGGTTAGACTACAAGATTTCCACAGTGGAGTATACTAATCTCATTACACAGCTAATTCGGCTAAGTTCAGAGGAGTTATTTCAGAGATTCAGCTCAGAGGGCCAATTGCTAAAATCAACCCGCAGCGCATGTTGTCAAAGTCAACCAACCAGATTGTGCTATTGCCGGCCCAATATTTTCCAAGTATTGGACTGCGACGAGCACTGTCACGGACATTTTTAGTCCGTAAGATTAAGGGCCCATCAACTGATCTTTTCAAGCCGTTGCTAAGGAAAATTTATTCTCATATAACCTCATCATTTTTAGTTAGTACAGAGTTATTTCATACGTTTTAACTTTTTCATGATCAGTAACACCATTGATGACGTCATTAGGCCACGCCTTTGGTCATGTGACTAATACTGAAAAAATGCAAAGGTTCCCAAGTAAATTACTTTATCGGGATTTTTTTCACTGATTTGATATTTTAAATTTAGTCCTCATTACGCTATGCATAGATTTTGCTTCATTTCTAAAACGTCAGATTTTGAGAGAATTTCAAAATATTAAAAAATTGGTAATTTTCTGAAAAAAAGCATGATTGTGAAAAAGGAATCCCGAGAGGGTTGAATATGACGTTTTCACTCTGAAAGCGCATCAAATGTTTTCCGTCGACTCAACGCCGGAGAAATTTGAAAACGCAACAAACACCGGTCATTTTGGATTTATGTTTGAGAAAAATGCGGTCAGGGAAATTACATGACTATCGTAACGTCATCGTTTTCGAAAAGCTTCGTTTTCAAAATGTTTTTCGTTCACACTAAAACGCAAAACCGGCGTTTTCAAATTCCTCCGGTTTGAAGATATCGAAATGCTCCGTTTTCGTTACGGATTAGTGTTAGCTCCAGGCTCTCAGTAGTTGGAGACGAGCGGAAAAAAGAGGGCGAGCGTTTTTTTTTTCTCTCGTTCGCCCTCCCTCTTTTTTTCGCTCGTCCCCAACTTCCGAGAGCCTGGAACAGGCTAGACTAGTGTGGACAGTAGGCCTAACTGTAGAAATAAACCTGCGTTTTCAAATTCAGTCTCGGGCGTAGTGTGAACGGGGCCTCAGACTCGGCTGTTAGCGTCTTTATAAAATGTTGAAATCTCAGTTTTAACTGAGTTAGATTTTCAGCGATTTCTCAGCTATCGGTTAAAATTTTGGCCACTTTGATCAAATAACGTGGCCCCTTTTACAGTTTTGTTCGGGGAACAATAGTTCCTATTTGGTGTTAGAATGAGCTCAGAATGTTTGTACGGCTGTTGATATTAGTTCCAAATCTGGCGCTGGAGAACGAGAGACGTTTACTGATAACGAAACTCTTGGACAACTATGAACTGTGAGCAGACAGTGTCCAAGGACAAATTTTTGCTGCAGAAATGGAGCCTAAATATGCGCTTATTATTCTTCAAAATACGCGTAAAAGGTATCTCAAGCTGTTAAATGTCAAAGCCGTAATTGTTTCAGCCCTCAGGAAACTTGCTAGGCTGTTAGAAACATTCAGCTCTCCCAGAGGTCCATGTTCTACTTCATCGAGCAAGTGATTTAGACGAAAACTAAAATCTGTTACCAAGGCAACCAGGGAAATTCAAATAAGGGACACCTCCAATATTGCCTGGTGTTCACTTCGTTACATTACCTCGTTTTCGCTTCGTGTTAAGATCAATCGGGCAAGAGAAAATATTATGATGAATAACAAGTTGTGTTGTTTTTCTTCAAGGTTATCATGAATTTATTAATATGGCTTGCGTTTGAAGTGAAGACACGATTGATAAATATAAAGATAAGTGAAGATATGATATTTCATATTTTCACTTGTATGGCATGTGTTTGTTGCCGATACAACGCGCTCTCTGATTGGCTAATTAATTGTAGGGCATTATTCCCCCGTAATGCCCACGGACTGATGACGGGCCTGCAAAAACAAAGCAAAAAGCCGTGTCATAAACCTCAAAGTCAGGATTTACTGGAAATTCCCAAACCTCGGCCCTGCCGTAGTGACCTTCCTATCGCTCGGTCTATAAGGAAAGGTTTCAGTTTGAGATTTTACCGTAAAGACCTCACTCTCGGTTAATAAGCAAGTGTAATAGCTTATTTGGCAAGATGGTATGGCTGATAAGGATAAAAACAGTTTACAGATAGAGTTGACATTTATGCACACTCACAGTTTTGCTAAAACATCATACATTTAAACTGAGGGAAGCGGTTATAGTCTAGTTTTCCCGAGAATCTCGTTATTTTGAAGTTCTCGAGATTCAAGTAGCCTCTTGTTAGATCTTGTTAGTGGGAGAGTGGGCAACATTTAAATTTAGCCATTGCCGGCACGTGACCATGCAATAAGAACGCACTCTAGTTATATGACAATGAAATGTGTCGTTTATGACAAGGGCTATCCCGTCATGTTAATGTATTCATTTCTCCTTGCATAAAACCCCTTTGGTACTGAAGAACTTGAACAGTGAAAACGGCCAAATTCTGAGTTAAAACGCGTAACCTAAAATGTAAAAAAGTCACCGCGGGTGACTTGTGATAATGACAAGAACATCCAAATGAACGTTCGGTTATCAAAGCCAAAATTGTCATCACCAGCCACAGACTCGTTTACTGATCTGAACCACTTAAAGCCAACATTTTATAAGGCTCCAAATCAAACAAAAAGAATTTGTGTCAAATTGTGCAATGAGACGTAAGCATAGTGTTTCAAAGATGACAGACAGGAGAAAGGCTCCTACAAAATTGAGCAGATTTAGATTCGGTAAGCTGATAAGAGTGGCAGGATTTACGGAACTTGAGAGCGCTTTAAAGTTTGCCATCAAACAAGCGACCCTGCTTTTTGTTCTCTCGGTTGGTTTGTGCCTTATCAACTAGCTAGGCCACCGAACCTTTTACATTTCTTCTCAATACTTCCCAGAACTGAAGGTAAAAATACGTTAGTGTTCAGGAACTGTAGTTCGTTTGTCAATATGGTACCTATTAGGACTCGAATTTTAGTGACTGCCTCTTGTAAGACATGTAACCACTCTTGAAAATTGCAAAATGACTGGCCGTCGTCCGAGGGAAGTTTCGTTAAAACCATAATAAAAAATACAGAGACAAATACATTAAAACCGAACTAGTTCTTAGAATCCGAACTTGAAGAGATACTTAATTTTCCTTCATAGCTCATAGCGTGCAAGCATTTGTTAAAATAATGTTATAAATCGCATTAACCGACCACCAACCTAGATCACGTCATTGCGGCATTTGCTCGAATATAAAGGCAGCTCAGAAAGCAATGACGACGACGACGCATAGGAATTCACCTAGTAAAACATGGGTTTATATTTTACCTTCGAATTTCGCAATTATCTTAGACCTGTTCGGCACGCCTATCGGTCTAAAAACCTACCTAAATTAACTATGTAATGCAAGCGGTAAGTTCCAAAAGGGCTAAAAATAGAATATAAAAAATTAGTCTTCGCAGCTCTCGCAGTCCTTTACACCGGACTCATTTCACGTTGTTATTTTACAGAGCCGAGGACGGCTACGAATGGGAACGAAAGATTCATAATACAAGTGCATAGTCACTGTTCTGCTCATTAAACCTTTTTGCTTCGTGACGTTATTATTGTCATTATTATATTCAGAGAGAGAGAGAGAGAGAGAGAGAGAGAGAGAGAGAGAGAGAGCTTATTAAAGCTCTCTTATGACTCAGCGGGCGAATGGGCTTGACGCACAAGCCATCGATTCAAGTGCATTGAATTGTTTTTTTGCACTAACTCATAGAGATGCATGCTGTATTGCAGTTGTAAATAATTGCATGCTCAGCCTCGCAGCATAACGCGCGTTTGCTGGTGCTATGCCCGGCTTAAAGAAAGATCTAAAACTCCAATTTTTCTTAGTTTTAGCTTAAATTTTGTGCTCTTGAAACTTTGAAAACACTTCAATGTTGCTATAAAAAGAAAACGCACTTCAATGACAAGCAAAAGGAAGAGCTATTTTGTAAATGTATACGTGATGTTAAAGTTTAGTGCAACCCAAGAAGTGGGAGGTGTTCCGGCAACCTTTCGGCAAACACTATGTTAAGAGATCATTATGAGATGCACGCAATTGTTATAATTCTCTCATCTCGATTCTTGTGGATCAGTTAAGAGTAAATCGAGAAACCAGTTTTCTTAAACAGTCTTTTTCTCCAGCTTTTCATGTTAAACTATCCTGTACACTGACTTACTTTTAGAGGAATAATCTTGTTAGAGGCCAGAAGAGCGAGCAATGAACTGGGCCAGTGGGTACGTGACAACCTCATAGCGGTTTTCCTTGATCTGTTGTGATAAAACTATATTCTACTTGAGCTGATTCCGGTTTGAATAGTAGGTTCAAGTGTGCAGTTTACTATCACGTGGGATGAATAATTAGTACTTGCGCTTATCGTGTTAGTTGAAGATTATCCTCTTTCAGTGAGTACCGATCTCCTTAATCCAACCTGTTTCAACAAGTTGAACGGCAAAGGTTGAAGCAAAATCATGCAAGGCCAAAAAATAAAAAAAAGAAAACAGTTATGGCTCAATTGGAACTCAAAAGGAGGCCTATTCTTACATTACACTACGCAGCACTTTATGAAAAGCTGTTCTCTTGCTCAACTCCATTACAGGAAGTCAAGACCGACCCACCGCCTCCGCAAACTGAAAGATCTCCCTTCTTATTTAACATACGCATGTAAAACCAATCAGGAATTGGAAAAAAATGTTCTGCCCGACGATTATTGCCAAGTATGCGATCGTTAAAATTGAGCATACACTGATATAGACTCTGACCCAGCAGCGCTCGTCTTACTTGAGAAGCACATGCCGCTTTTGACAAAGCGTGGTAGTAGCACTTATAAAGAGTTTACCACTTCTCTTATAAGGTCATAAAATAACACAACCTGTCACGAGTTGATAAAGAACTTTTTCTCGTACTCATCTTGATTTGACAAAAACGGCAACTTTTCCTGTAATAAATAGCTTGTCAATCATTTCCCGTCCTCAAGAGGTGGGGGAGGGGGGTTGGCGGTGGAGGTAAAGATGACTGACATTTCAGGCTACCAGTTGAACCTCTGTTATTCAACATAGCGCAAATCATAGGTATTCGCAGCTTAACAGGCGACCGAATCTATTGAAATTCAAAAGTATTGTCTTTGATTTATTTTCGGCTCCGTTGAGCTTTTAAGTTGTTGCAGAAGCTTGAGAGATATTTTTGGCCTATCAGGTGTGAAAACTGTCTTTGCGCACGTGACTATCCCACGCTTTTTCAAGCTTTTGGCTTCTTTTTGCTTTATGTTGAGAGATTGGCTCTGTGGGTTTTTTCGACTTTAGCTAGAATAGTCATTAGAAAAGTCCTCTCTTCCAAAATTGCGTCTCCGGCAAAGGTAACTGTAAGTTCTGACGGTGTAGGAATTATATCTCTGCGAAAAAAAAAAAAAAAAAAAAAAAGAAAGACCTTGCGTAACAACTGATTTGAAGCTTTCGTTAAGAAAAAAAAAACACTGTTTTAATTGGATTTCCTTTTTCACTTTTCTCGATGGCATACGTGCATATTTTTTTCCTGCGGGTCCCGTTTGTTCCAAAACCGATTAACTAGGAGCAAAAAAAAAAAGAAGAAGAAGAAAGCCTCCCCAACGATATGTCAACAAAAAGAAAACTGATGCTAATCCTAGATGCGTAAACAACTCAGACCAAATGGTCCAGATATTCAATAAATGTGATGATTCAAAACCTCGAAGTTATATTTCTTATCGCTGTATATATTTAAAGGAGCTCAGTCACGGTATTTTGAGTGATTTTGGCCGCGTACAAAATTAGCTTTAAATTGAAGAAAACCTAACAATAGTTGTTTATTAAGATGGAAACAAGCCAAAGAGATAACAATAAACCATTAAGGAACAAGGATGGTTTGGTATGGAGAAGATTAACACGGATCACAAACGACACAAACCGTTACGTAACTTCTTTACGAGTCGAGCTGTTAAACAGTTAGACAGTGAGCTTGAAGTTTCTAAGATTGACAGGTCGCCCTGAGCCACTTTGACATCAACAATCAAAGGCCATAGAAAGTCGAATTATGTTGGCATAAACCCCTTAACGATGAAAAATTTACGTATATAATTCAGAAACTTCATTAATTCGCGAAGTTGAAGCAATTTTCAAAGATTGTAAATTGAGAGCAAAACTAGTGAGAAGAAATTTGGATGCCGTCTTGATCATAGAAGACTTAGAAGGCTCTAGCGGTGACTCGGCGCGTTTGCTTGATGGGTAATCATGTGATAAAGTCAGTTAGCAAGCCCGTTTAGTCTGCCCTTGGAACCACACGTACCTATACCCTACGAACAGAATCACTTCGATCTTTCCTATATAGATAAGCCAGGAAAGCAGGTGACTTTCCCGACTTATCTATTAGCTATGGAACATTCAAGCGACTCTGCTCACAGGTCAAGTACGCCACAAAAGTCAATAGCAATACCAGTTTTCTTCCGTTCAATTTTCGTTCAACTAAGGTCCTTTCCATTATCATCTGCTCAATTTGATGGTTTGGCCATCACTGGGTTGCCCTTCGTTTTATTGGAGAGCGATATGCTCTCCTACCGAAGGTCGACCTGCATGTGGTAAGTATTACAGAGTCATTGCAGCGTGCATATGAGAGATTTAGGACAGTTTTGTAATGATTGCCTCGAAGTTTGCTCGAAAACCAAATGATTCAAGAAAACTATACGAATTTACCGCAAATCCAGCAACCGGTATACCAAGGGTGGGAAAGCGTCCAAGTTACAAATGGTGTTCGAAGTTTTGATCCAGCACCAGGATTGCAAGACAGCACGTTTGCTCTCATTCAGTCACAGAGAAGGTAACTTAAAGTATTTTGGGCCAATTACGAGATTAGCAGACGCAAAACTAAAGCGACCAAGAAATTGCTAGCGAAGGTTAATCGGGAAAACGGCTGTATTATGAAGCAGTTTTATGTGACCTTTGACTGACGCATAGTTGGGGCTTCGTTACACTCTCACAGTGGGACTAAAACGAGATGCTATACGAATATCGTAGGATATTTGCATTTCTTTCTTGGCTGATGACTGCACTATGCCGAGTTGGAAAAGGCTGGCTATCAGCTGCATGACTTTGAAGTGGGCGTCGTACTGAAATTACGGGTTCTGTCACGGCTTTTTTAAGAGGGACACCGGTAGTTCAAGTTATGTAATGCAGAGTGAGAGGCCGCTAAGATTCTATTCAATTTGGTCTCCTGTGTGAGTTGATTACGAATGAATTGCAAATAATGAAAGCCGGAGAAGAATACACATGACTCAGTTACTGTTTTACCTCCCGCGAAATTGTCACTCTTTGCATGGGGTATCAACTTGAATAATTCAGTCTTCCTCAATAGCTTAGCTATTGCCAATTTCATCTTCAAGGGAGCAATCTTGATGGGTGCTAACAGGGGCTGTTCGATAAGAAAATTGCTCGATTCTGACAGCTACAACAAGAAAAGGCTTGTCCACTGCTGTCAAAACATAAAACCGGCACCTCAAGAGCAATTTAAAGTTTTAATTAAAGGAGTATTTAAATCAGACAATGACAATTCGTTGTCTGGAATAGTCATTGCCGTCGGTAAAATACAATCGGAAAGCGATCCGTTTGGTACCCAACGAATCGCTTGAAGCGCTCAGGCCCCATTGCACAAAAAGTAATTAAAAGTCGGTTAGTAACAGCGTTATGAAACACTCAAGGAGGTGTAAATAGCCTCCAGTTACAAATAAGCCGCAAAGGCCGCTAACAACAAAGCAAATTGCCCGAAAATTAACTACTGATAGTGGGCGCGAGAAGTGCTAATGAGAAATCCATCATAATAACAAATCAAATAATTTCCAAAAGAAAACACAGCAGAAAAGCTTCGAGAACAAAAGAAATAAACAGATGGTCAGATGTTGAAACACATCGGACTTGACAGTGCCAAATTCTGTTAGCGGCTAAGCATAACGCGAGTGATTAACAAAAGCCGGCTAGTGCCCGGCTTAAAAGCGTGTAGACCCAGTTGCATTCCATGGATTAATAGCGTTCATTCCTGCAGTCAAAACCTATTAAACTAGATACCATAACAAAATCATGTTGATGAGACGTAATTTCTTCCACGGGACCTCCAGCAAGCCTCCGCGGAGTGGACCCCAAGATAGTCGGTCAAAAAGTAGCTGACTGATGTTTAACATGCGCCCATTTCATCATCACAAGAGTCACACCTCATCCAACTGACTTAATCAATCTTCATTTTAATTTAGGTATTTGTCATCACAGACTCTAAAAGTAGAAACTATACATCGCAATTATTGGTCAATTCCTATTTTAACTAGTCAATCTCGTTTTAATTCGAGTTTACCTGGTGTTAAATAAGAGACGCACAATAGATGCACAATCTAAAAGAATACAGTTCTTGGCTTTCGGATTACAATACTATCTCCGTCTCTTAAATATATGATACATTATTTTAGTTAACTGAACTAAGGTCACCAGTCTGTCTTTTTTTTATAACGACATGTACTTTTAGGACTATTAGTTGGCATAGGGGGCAAGGAATGGTATTTGGGACAAGGGAGACAAATTATGGATTGATAACTGCAACCTTACTTAGGTTTAAAACAATCTTTCTGTTTTCATCATTTCTTTCCAAGAAACGGATTAATTTACTATAGGGGATAACCTTCGTTTCATATTCACGTCGAATATAAGGTAAATCTTACTATCTTATATAAACAAATGGACAAAATCCATTTATTATTTTAACTTTGACCTAGGATATCAAAGTTCTATCCATTGCTGTTCATAATTTCACTGATCTCTATTTTACTTAGTCAACGTTTAATTCATCGTCGACAGTCGTTATGTACATATGTTTTCCGATGTATTTATAAATTCTCCGGCTTTTCAATACACGTGCAATTTCATTGATGTGTCCCACGCATCTGGTCAGTTGGTTCTTGCCGTAGCATCCTGACTTGACTGACGGCAGGTTTCAACCAAAGGTTGAATGGTTCCTTCATTTGACTTTGAACTCTTTGGTAAGAAAGTCGTCTTGTGTCCTAACATAGGAGCAATGTAACATCTTAAGCATCCAGGATGTAAAATTTCCATCCCTTCCGTTCACCGGCATCCGCATCCATCTACTACCATGTCCTGGTAGTTTTTGAGCACCACTTTGCTGTGCTCATTCATGAAGAGCATGCTGATGGGATTCAGCGTTGTGGGCACGCAGCATGCACGCGGCGCTAAATCTTCGTTCACACTGTTCATTAGGGTCTGCACTATGGCGTGGTTTGTGGTGTTCAAATGATCAGCGATGGGAAATGGGCATTCACCATTGCAGTAAAATGCCTTGTACCCAGGTGGTGCAACGATCCAGTCATTCCATCCGACTTCAACAAAGTTCACATAGAGTGGAAGCCTTTGGCAGTAGCTACTCTCTTTTGTTGCGGGACGGTTGCCCGTACTTCTCCGTTTACGCCGACGACGATAAACGTGTTGCGCCCCATCGTGGCTGAACGTGACAAGAAGCGGCTTCCTGTCAGTAGTGGCTCTCTCGTCAGTGTGTACGTGAATGTTTGGTGAATCTCCATTCGCGGCTATGTGCACTTCGAGGCCAAAATTTTCGTTTGGATGAAGTGCCCAATGTTGAACCGTAGGTCTAATGTCAAAACTCTCCAATCCTCGAGCAGCTGTTCTTCTCGTGTCTATCAAACGGGTTATGGTAGGATGCCCAGCTGTTCCCGGAAGTAGCACTTGATATACATTCACACGATGCTGCTTTTCGGTTTCATTGGTATGGTTCTTTACATTTGAAAACGTCAAACGAAGCTCTGCTGCTCTTAAGGTCTCGTGGCTGGGAAGAGAGGCGATGTCGAAGAAGAGATTCCATCTGTTTGCAGGCAATCCCGACACTGGAGCAGGCAGCTGGTAACCTTTTGTACAAACAAAAATAAACAGAGTCAACACTTGTTCTCATGAAAAACGACACAGGAGGAAAATGACTAACACTGCATTGGTCTCCGCGTTGTCACGTTTACAAAGGACAGGTTGCCAAGCTAAATACTCTGTGTATTGAATACTGACTCACCTTCATGATCAAATGCCCGGATGGTGTTGGCATAGGTCCATTTTCCCTTGTTTCTAAAATTGGTCGAAATCCACTCAGGATCATTGATGTGATTATGATACAAGTCGAACATGAACTGAGGTACTTTGTCTTTTGATCCTTTCGTCGGTCTGGGGCGAGATGGTAGGCCCATTTTTTGCAACATGGACTGCTCTGCCGCCTGAAATAGCTCTGAACGCTTGGCGTTTGTGGAGTGATCCGTGTAAAGGGACGGTACTCCCAAGCATATCGTTACTCCAAAGAATAAAGACCACAGCCGAGCGATCAACATCTTTCATGCCAAGCACGAACTCCTTGAGAGAAGGAGAAACAAACTCAATGACTAAATGGCTTATAAGGAATGATTTTATAATTTCTAAATCCGATCTAGCAAAGTGAGTTCTAAAGATAAAAGCCAAGATAAACGGCATTTGAGCTCAAGAATCTTGACTTCCCGTCCTAAATCATGTCTAATCTAAACACGTCTGTTCTAAGCAGTGTGCACGATTTCGTCGGCTCAAGTAGTGATCAAAATTCGTTCTGTAAAGTTACCTGAATTATTAAAACGAGTCTTGACAAGCACCGGTTTACTGCGCAAATCTTCCTTGTTCCACAAAAAATTCTCACATAAGCCTAAGCTGCATGCTCAAAACAATTTACGATAAAAATCGCAGCACTTATATTGTATCTCAGTCAAGCAAATTAAATAACTGTCGTATCACGTTCCAATATTTGCTTACTTTCCATAAAAAGCCTCGCGACTTATGTTAACCCCCGGAATGAAGATCAGAGGGTCAACAGCGCGAAGCTGCGCAGTGGTTTAACAACACTCATCACCGAACACGAACCCTTGCTTCAACTGTTAAAGCGAAATTTATAAACAACACACGCAAAGACAATCAACCTTCACAGGCGTCCTACAATGAAAAGAATTCATCCTAAACATTTAGTGGCGACGTGATCTGTCTTCGTGTGTGCCAAGAACAGGATTCTTGATGAACAACGCACCTTGAGAAACATCAGTGCCTCTGAACGTGCTGTAAAAGCTCGTATCTCACTGACATAGAGTTATATATTTTATAAAGGTGTGGATTAGTTAGCATAGGCCCCTTGAGTGTTCATCACAGCGGTTATCTGAACTTATAAACAGAAGCCGTTGTAAGACAAAAGGCTATAAGTATAGGAACTCCCTAGGAGGTCTATTTATTCGTTTCAAAACGGAAGTTACCCAATAATTACACACGCTATTAAAAGTGAATTAAACGGATTCTTAAGAGCCGCAAGGACTATAAAAAGGTGTGAAGTGAGAACCTAATTATTGTCATTCTCACGATAACCAAAAATTTCCGTTTTCTAAACCTTTCTCAAGAGGACAATCAATTCGAACCGTCTGTAACCTGTCTTGAAGTTATATAGAACCAAGGGAGGCTGCAGAAAAATAAAGTCCAACTGATTAAATGAAGGATAAAGGCTCTGAGCAATTAACCAACGGTCACTAGCCGCAGAGAAGCGAATGACAATTCACTTTTTATTTTTGGTTTTGTTGTTATCTAGCTATGATCTACTTACGATAATGCTCAGTTTTCTGAAGCACGTATCATTGCAGTAAAATCAGGCTCCTTACATAATCACAACATGTCGACAGGTCACTTGTTATGAAAATCTATTTACACGGGGCTTTGTTCGAACGAAAATGTTGTCTCTACTGTCCTGCCAGTCTCCTGTCGTCGTTCACTGAATTCACTGACAATGAAAGGATCGTCGACAGATGAAACAAACTATACAGATGACAACTTTTAAAGCAATATCTGTGAAGACACAATCACATGCTCTTCCCACAAGAACGCAATATCCTTTATCTCGAGATCTCAGAAATACTTCAAGGGCAATATGCAACTAGCAAAGTGTCACTGTTAATAATCATTAGCTGATGGATCCGTCGACCTTGTGTTCAATTCGTAAGCGGGAAAGCAAAATGCTAATGCCAAGCTAAATAACCTCAGGAAGCTATCGGAACTTGATCGGTAACATTCTAGAAGTGACTGTGTTTAGTCGGTTTACAGCCTCGGGGTAGAGTCTAATCCACAAAACTACTGGCAAAAGAGAAATTTGAAAGCCGCACCCTGGACACCAAACCGATGTCTAGGTCCGAGGATGATGAGACACTATCTGAAACGACTGTAATCAGTGAACGGAGCTCAATTCTGCTCACATTGATTATCACTGAAAATCACTGATCATAGAAGCTATATATATATATCTATGTAGTACACACCACGAGGTCACAGTTGACAGTTCACGATTTCGAGAGTATGAGAGTAAATTTGTTTTGAATGGTAAGGGTGCTTTCTGGAAGTTTTATTCGCTTTTATTGTCCACTGACCATTTAGGTTGCCGGGGTAGTAAATACATCATAACGCTACGAATTTTCCGACACCTGACCCAGATTTTAGGTAATGGTTTAATGATAACAACATTTATCATGTAAAGTGCCGGTGCAGTAATACCATTTTAGCCGGTCCTTTGCACTGCGCACCGTAGGTCAAGATTATCTTAGATTACGTTCGTTTCGGTCCATTCGTTCATCTGATGACTCACATTCTTGGCAATTTGCTAGCAACACCGAGCCTGGGAAATGCGTAAACAGCCAAAACGAGCTATGCTACTAATGATGGTGCACCACGCTGGAGTATTTGACATCAAAAAAAAAAATTAAACCCCCGCAAACGAACAAATTCTTCCTTTCTGGCAAATCGCCAGTTGCGGCAATGTCAACTTGGACGAGAGTTGTAAAAAAAATCGATCTTATTCAAGTAGTCTCTTGTTCAGTTTTTGAGGACAATAGAGAGCAGCCGAAGTTGTGCCTTGTAGACGTGTTGACGGTTAACTGAAAACTTTGAAACCATCGCGCACATGCTTGATCGATTAAAACTGAGCTCACCAAGAACAACGTCATACCAAGTTTTTCAGACAAAAACTTTTACGACCTTTTATATGAACTTCATCAAGGTAATGCTAATTATACCAAGTCGTCTATGGAAAGAGGCTAATATAACCAAGTTAATTTTACGAGCTTGCAACCAACAGCTTGTAGGAGGTTCTGTAACAACGTATGGACCATTGGCTTTGCTTAGGCTAATTGCAAGTGGACGTGCAGTGAGTCTTAGTGAAGCATTATAGGCTAAATAGCTGATTCCACCCACACAAAGATGCCAAACACAAAGCCACGTAGCTCAAGATGCTTCTTGCATTATGTTGACTGCAGTACACACTATATGATAATGACATCTCTGTCGTCTAATGCCATCAACGCCACGCGAAATCAGTTCCACCACGCTGTCGAGCTGCGCTCGCTAGAGAACGACCTGGGGCTCAACACGAGAACTGGCTATCATTGTTCCCAGCGATTTCGCTGCTTCGAACTGATTAAAGATCCTTTAAAGGTTATGGCCTAAAAATAACGTTACAAAATAACCCAAACGTCTAATCTTACCGTAAACTGAGTAATTGGGCTGCCCAAACAACGAAGCGTCTCAGTCCGAAGGTTAGTTAACTTTGTCTTCAAGATTGACTTTGAACAAAGCAACTAATTTACAATTATTCGACAACACAAACACGCTGGGGGCCAAAAAGATCTGTCAGGTAAACTAACGTAAACAATTGCATTCAACGTACAAAAGTATTCTTTACACATGGAAGACATTGCCGGATCTTTTAATTAAAGCTTTGAGGTTTGTCATTGAAGGGTCATGGCTAGTGACGTCCTAAACTTGCCACTTACCACGCATTAATTACATTTCCTGTTCGACTCGAGGCTCGCATAAAAAGTGAAAACAACAAAAATAACTGGTCATTTAACAGGTTCACTATATCCAGCAAAAACGCGGTCTCTCTGTTGTTGTTCGAGTCTGTCAACGACTGGAGACTGAACCGTCTTGAAATGATCGAAAATCAGCGCAACTTGAATAAGTTGCGTTACCATAGACAGATAGTGAAATCTTTTTGAAGCGCGTTACAGGAACTTTTAAGAACCATTGTAGTCCTGGATTTTCTAATTGCCTCTTTTCAGTCAAAGATGTGCGAAAACAGCTTCTAAAATACCATTGCAGATAGATCACTCTAGCAATTTTGGACAATTCATATTTCTCTAAGCGAGAGGAATTTGCCTAATATTCCTTCGGAGACGGTTCTCTTTGTTTTTGGCTTTTAATTCATAGATTGACCTATAATTGCATATTGTTTAACTGGATGTCTGCACAAGCCCCCACGAAGCTTATTTCCACTGGGAATAACTCGTCAGGCAATCGGCGAATTCTCTTGAAGGTAGCTTGATTCAAGGTCCAGAAAAAAAAGATGTGGAAAATCAAAACTCTTGAATAGTTAAATCGCACAGATTATAGCACAAACAGAGAAAAAGACAACAGAAAATTTCGGCCATAATTGTTTTAGAGAAAGGCGCAACCCCTAATTAAAAGTCTGCTTATGTATCAGTTCCTGTTAGCTGTAAAGCGGCTAGGGAGCACAACTAAGATCTACGTACTGGGGGTCGACTGGGACAAGAACTAGATGCCAGTATCTGAGCTGATATTAACCAGTTCAATGCTGTTGTATCTTGCAAGATGCTTTGAATTTCTAGACAGTGTTTCTCTTCAATATATATTTTCGGTGTTATGAATACCAATAGTTCTTGACCCCTCTCTGCGCAAATTCTCCAATATATACTTGTAATGATCGAGGTTCAAGATTTCAGGTAGAAACCTGGCAATGTCCAGAGCTATAACACATGAAAAGGTAATACACAAGTAACCTTGCAAGGGTAGACGTTGTTTTTGGTAGTTATTTAGACGCTCTAAGACTTATACATCTATGCGCAATATTTTCAAAGTCAATCTTCAGACGGTGTAACCAGCAACGTGCAAACTACAGGCTAATTACCTTTGTCAATCTAATCAACTGAAATGAAATCAGTAGCGAAGGCGTATTTGTCTTTGATGGCTGGATAAGGTAAAGAGTGTTTATGTTTGAATAAAACACCTATTAACACTTCTTTATATGAAACGATTGTTATGCACGAAACATGCAGTACATATGATAATTCGCTTCCTGATATGAACGTGATCTGGTCCAAATCGATTTGGATTAAAGCCCTCGACGGAAAGCGCGTACCATCCTATGAGCTAATATCACCCAAAAATCTCTTGGCTGTTGCAAAGACGTTTTTCGCATTCCCTGGTAGCTTTATCGCGACTCCTACTTGTCATTGTACTGATTTAATGAAGTTTATTTTACTCTCGACATTGGCTGACAATTATAAATTAAATTTACCCAGTAGTTACGTTTGGTCTTGCTTTCTGCCTGATTGACGAGCCCTCAAACAAAATTTTACGTTGAGTGCACTATACGTGCTACTACGAAACAGAAGCACGGGTTCTTCTCCGTGGGAATATAACTACCATTTGCTTTCACCCTTGCTCGTAATTCCACTGATTAAAACGAACAACAATCACATTTATTCACGGTACCTTCGTGTGGGGGCAAACTTCAATCCTTTGCCACATATGTTTTCGAAAATGCGCGTAAAATCAATTCAACGTGAAGGTTAAGCTTGATCGATGGAATTTAGTGACCGTAACTGAATACTATGAGTTTCACCGCCTTTTACGTTTTGTTTTTCACTGCTCAGGAAAAGGTACGCACAGCCGAAAAAAGGATGTCAGCGTATAAAGTAGTAACAGCCAGGCTAAAATACATCAATTATATGCTTAATTAAGCGTAGTATATAATTTGTACAAAAATTAAGAGCAACCCGTTTTGTGTCACTTAGGTCAAGAAGCGGTTTAAACCATATACTTGGGCTCGTCGGTAACGTTCGACATCATGATCGTAACGTAAAAACAGGCGATAAAAATGATCCTACTGCGAGTAAAAACTCTCAAGGTGTTTCCGAACCACAGAACTCTTTGCAGGACTACTCTTTCTTACAGATAAAACTTACCTCTCAGCTGAACTTTTTAGGTGAACGACGCGACGGATGTTAAAGAAAGCCGACGAAATGAAAAGCCTTCTGTGTAGCTGTTGATGTGAAGCGACTGGACTTCATTCCGACTGTGAAATACGGCTAGAACTAAAGCGCTTTATTTCGACGATTAACCCCCTATACAGAATGGACTGCGAAAGCAGTTTACAATGTCAACCCCGATATGATGCCCCTGTCAGCAGCCGCGTTGACATGCATTGTGTCAACCAAGCAAATTGAAAGGGGTTCTAGTCATGGCGACCAATGGGATGGCCTCATATTTACTCTAACCATTTAACTGAAGACGCTGGCCTTCCAATATAGCTGCTCGATTTTCACACGTTTAACCAGCAAGCTCATTATTTTAAGGAATTTTAAGTTGACATGAAATGTTATTAATTCCGTGGCGTTCATTCTTCTGATGCCGGACTCAATGCAAGTAAAAACATAACGACATGTTTTTGCCATTACATTTTCAGTTTCCACTCTATTTGAAAGACTGATACTTTCTCTCTTTTCCTACACAGGTATGGAGGAACTAGATCTTTTTTATCAACTAGAACAAGCCTAGCTGGAGATGCTGCAGTTATCGTGTAAAGTTCCGTAATTTCTTATCTCTACGAAATCACTTAAAGAGATATTGTATAAAAATGTAACAAATCTGTAAGTAACTAAGTAACAACCTCAAGGAGTTTGAGGCTCAAAATAGTCTTGCGGTTAAATTAAGACTCGAACTTTGTAAACAATTGTGGTTTCAGTGAGGGATAATCAAGATTTTCACTTGGTTGGAGAAAAAACAAAGGAAATACCAGACTGTGAGCGTTTCTAGGGCGTGAGTTTCGCTGAATGGGTTACCCCATTGATGTGAGATTCGTTTTTCCTTCTTTGAGGACCAGTTAAACGGACAAGCGTTTACTATACTATCGTATTGACCATTACTGTATTAAATTCTGCATGGTTATCCTATAAAGAAATCGCGACATGTCAGCTGGTACAAAGAAAAACAACCTGGCAGGCAGCATTCTCATTCAGAGCTTTGCTTTTGGACTTTGCCCTTTTCTTTTGACTTATAAGCAATGTAGGAATGTCCAGCTATGATAGTATAAATGTATCAAACACAAGCACTGTCAGAGGGATTATTTTAGATGCGTTGGTACAAAGTGGGGCCAATTTCAGTGGCGTTCAATATTTGGAATATTGGATGGAAATTTTAAATTTTTTACCGCTAAGTGCATAACATAAAGCGTGCGCAGTATTGACTGCATTCAATTGAAAATTATCAAATTCGGTGAAAACGTGAGGGCTTTGAAAACCTCAAAACAACAACGTGAAGGACGTGAAGGAACGAAACTTGTTACATCTATTCACACTTAAGGGTGTACCTATGTTACGAATATCAAGTAAAAATTGTCGGAGAGAATGTTGCTACGCCATTTAGCTTTATTGCAAAAATTAAAAAGAAAAGCGGCGAAATCTCAGTTCATGTACTTCAGGAAAACATGCATCATAAAAAGATTTAAGTTGACACCGCTGCAGTCGTCTTTAAATTACGTTGAAATACTGGTATGATAAGACTCAACAAAATGAACAAAAAATTAATCAGTTATATTTTGTGATCACGTGATAAAATTATTTTTTTAAAGTCTTGGCTCGCATCCTCGCATTTCTCCTTGAGAAAAGTTATGCTGACTGCAAGTAGAAACTTGTTATTCAGTTATTCATGAATTTCATTACCTGGGGCGTACTTGTCTATTTGGTGATTGTCAACGCTATGTTGCGTGATGTTACGTGACTCGCGCATTCTCATACGCATAACGTCCAAATTTTAAGACAATAGGCATATTTAAATCTATGGAGGCCTAAAAGCACTTATTTCTAGTTTTGTCAAAAACCTCTGTATTGGGGTACTGACGCTCCAATAACAGTGTTCTCACTGGTTACTCATATACAAGATTTTGACCTCAAACTGAAAACAGCCTACAGACGTTTCTATGGAAAATCGCTGAAAAAAAATTAGCAACTAATTCATGCCTTAGCGTGCATCATCGAGCTCTATCTTCTTGAGTGCTCCGTCTATGCATGGAGCAAGTTGGAAGCTTGGAGCCGGCTCGAACGAGAGTTGCTGTCGGCCGCACCTCGAGCAACTCTAGCTTCTTGAGTGCTCTCCAAACTTCCCAAGTGTACCATAACTCGATGATGCACAGCTAAAAGCATGAATCAATTATTTTTAGCATTGCCAATTGAAACAACTAAGCCAAGTTAACTTTGCGCATGCACACTTGAGCGTGTATTGTTGGATTATGATGCAAGCTTACGTATACTGAGTTTGATATCGCAGTTTTGTTAGCTAAGTTGTAATTACAATCTGCTCCGCCTTCAGCAGTTCACTTCATCTTGGTGTATTTCAATACACGTATTTCGTCTATCAGCAAAGATAGTCAAAGAAGCTCAGTGACGGTATTTTGGCCACATGCAAAATTACCTTTAAATTGAAGGAAACCTGAAAATGATAATTTACTAAGGTAGAACAACAATAAAGAGATAACAATAAACCAAAAAGACACAAGGATGGTTAAGGATGCAGAAGATTGTGACTGATTACAAACGACGAACTTAAAAAATTTAGGCTACGCAAACCGTGACGCAGTCATAACAGTATGACTTAGCACCACTGAGACGATAAATGCGGCAAAATCGCCGTAAAGCTGTTCCTTTAAGGCAACTTCAGAATTTACAAAGCTAAATCTCTTTTCGTTTCAGTTGTATTGGAAAGAAACTAATCAAATTCATTTTTTGTCACATAAAGAATTTTTTTCTCAAACAATAGACTTGTGATAATTTGCTTTCGGTTTTTACGAGCAATACACTCGACTACGCCTCCGGGCCAATTTGCCCACAAGACCACTGAACGCATCATGTACAATGGGGCCATTAGTCACCTTTGATTATAAAAGGTCCCTGGAAGGCTGGAACCGTCTAGCAATGAGGTTATTATGAGACATAAAATTATTGGGAAGCCCGTGATAAAATAAAAAAGTGATTAACCAAAAAGATAAGAAAGACTAGCGCAATTAAAAGTTAACTTAAGATGCAACGTCAATTAGTCATAAAAACCGTAACCGTGATGTTTGTGCCGATCCAGTTGACCGAGAGTTAATAAAGAAATGACCTCTTGACTGACCACTAATGTATGCAGAAACAGAGCTATGCCGTGGTAATGAGTGATGTAAAATAACTGATAAAAATTTATGAACTGACCAAAGAAACTGGCAAAAGCAGAAAAGTACAGAAAACATGTAAGAAATCAAGTGCCATGCGCAAAGAGATGAAAGCTAATACTAACTTGCCTGCATGCAAAACGGATGTTTTGAGTTTATCTCGAGTTATTTTATCTCAATGCTGACCCTCGAGCGAGACATAGTTTATCAGTTGAATTCCCTAAAATGTAGACATTCTGAAGACTGCTGTCAGTATCTTGCCGAGGGAATAGGTCTCTGTATCATCCACAATAATCATATCGTGGCTGTAAGGAAATTGTACCGTTATACTGGCACTGTGTTTTAGAATTGCTCGATAAGTAAGATTTCATTTAGTGTCTTATCTCCGACACACATCTGACAACCGGTACCTTTGCCGAGAATAAGATAGCTCAGAGCGACGCAGGCTCAGAGCTCGAAAACTGTCAAAATATCCTCACTTTAACTTTAAAGAAATGAGAAGGTAGACTGGCAATCAAGAAAAATAACAACTCATTTAGCATTACATGTATGTCTGTGGAAGAAGTTGAAAGTTATCTGCAAACCTTCATCCCAAGGCTTGTCATGTGAGAAAGGTTCATTCGGGCCAAAATGAAAATTCCACCAAAACAACTGGCATGCTTTCACGACTTACATGAATCACAGCGTGGCATCAGTGGACTACCATTGTTCGTAACGTAAAAATCTTCAACGCGTCTTTTGTGAAATTTATGAAGGCAGACTTTAGGTAACAATTTCTACCGTTCACAGATAAAGCAAAGAATAGAAAGACAAAAATTTCAGATTTCAAGCAATGGAATTTAGATTGATCTATTAGCTTAAGAGGGTGCTCAATAGCGATGCGTGCCAAAAGCTTCCATAAAATCTTTCATGTTTATAGTAATGCTGTCTTTTGTTTGTTCTCCTGTCTTCCGGAGACCCTCTCCTTTTCTAATCTACCAAGATGATTGTCAGACAGCTCTACCGTACAACAGGAAAGACATGAGAATGGTGATGAAATCCTTCACTTGGGATTACCGTTTTAGCACGCAATCGTTCTAAAGCGATTTTGTCTGATCAGCTCAGAAGGACTTAAAAGGGATAAGTCCTTGTATGTTTTCATTACATACGAAAGACAGCGACGATAAACTATTGATTACAACCAAGGCAAACATCACGGGAATGTATATTGTAAACTTGCATTGCTGAGAAAAGACAGTGAACTAAAGGAATCTTAATCATGCTACTCATTCGTATATTTCTCCTTCGAACTTACACAAAGTGGAGAAAAGTCTAAATCTACAGTACCTTACCTGAAAACGTCGATGAAGAAAATCCTAGCCGTCACAAGCAACCTCCTCAGAAGAGCTCAACTCTCTAATGGGGCAGATTAGTGAGAACTCATTACTCTTGGTTATCACACGATCTGTCAGATAAGTGTTTATCGCCAATTTCAGACTTGAGAGTATGAATTATGAATAAATATTAAACGAACATGTTGAAGGTGTTGAGTTACAAATCCGAACTGCACCTGGAGGAAAGTCAACTGCACGCAGAATTACTCTGTCTTGTTTGGCGAAGAACACATTTTCTGAGAGTTCAAGGACTAGAGTGTTCCAGAATACCACTTTTAGATGGCGTTTCTGTCGACTTTTGTGATGTCAATTTGTCATTGGCAACTACTAACTTACTCTTATGCCCACTACTCTTCTGAATTGTGAGCTGTGCTTTCTGAGGCCGTCTCCTAAATGTGAGAGTGTATCGCGGAAGGGTGAATGCATTAGGGAAGATAGCCATCCAAACGAAAGGTAGAATTACGGAAATTCCACGGTGCAGCCATTGATTAAACAGGAAAAAATATATCCACACCCGCTTTGTTACTCTTTTGTAGTAGTTCTCGAAATTGGACCAATCCATCGACAATTATTATTTCAGCAAACAGTCGGAGTAAAACCAGCCCACCTTATTAAAGAGCTATGAAGACAAGTTATTTGCAAAGTTTGTCCATTCGCTCAGTGGTGAATCAATTAGGTCACAGATGATGGAAGGAAGGCGGACGTGCAGCATGACACTGTTTCTCCATCATGACTCCCTCATGAATTTCGAGTAGGCCTGCTTTTGACCCGTACCCGGCTTTACCTCCTTGCTACGAACAAGACCTTCTGTGCATCTGGATTTGTTGATAGTAGAGCTTGCTAACCAGCAGTTTGTTTCAATTACCACAAACTTCCGGGATTAAATCCCAATTTAACTAAACGGCACAGACTATGCAGGTTATTGCCAAAACAGACTTACACAA